TTTCTCCAGTTTTCCCTAGAATGGGCTGGGGGATGAGGGGGATGAGGAGGGTGCCTGCATCTGGAGGATCCCATTACAGATGGACATGAGGGGACTCACAGGGGATGATGGGGTGGTCCAGGGTGTCAGCCAGGAGGCATCTGTGGTGACCCCAGGAATTTCAGGGAGGGGCCCTGATAGCACACAGGTGCTCTGTGGGTTTCTAAGGGCCGGTAGGGGCTCAAGGACAAAGCCACACAGAGCCCACAGACCCTCAATGGCAAGCCAGCACATAACATGACACACAGAGACCACAGGAAGTGACCCTCAATGGCAAGCCAGCACATAAGAGGTCTGAGCTCCTCGGCTCCCTGGCTGCCCTCTGATCACCTGCCTCCCTGTTGCCAACCTGGGCAAGGTGGTCCGCCAAGGTAATTTTCTGTCCTGCCAACAACAGGCCACAGCTTCCTCTAGCCCATTGCATTCTGCTGCCCCCTGCCCACCACATGTGGGTTTCCTTAACTCTACAAAGAATTCTCTCAGATTCAAAAGGACAACTGTCTTAGGCAAGCTGGTGAGGATACAGTGTAACAGCAAGTCTTCCAAACCCCCTGTGTGCCATCCAGGAGGGAAACGCCCCCCCCCTTCTGCTTAGTGTAGGTCCCTCAGGCTTGGGCGTGACACCTGAAGCAGCAGATTTGCTCAGATGAAGGGTATAGGAAGGTGAGAGCTTTTCACCTGTCACATGGCGGTGGCTTGCAGAGCAGTCTGTCACAGACCGGCCACATGCTCACCAACCCTACTTCCTATGTCAATCTCCCAGACTGCCTTGTGCTTGAGTTGGGTCCACGTGACTGCGATCTGGCCAGTGGTGTATGAGTAGCAGGATGTCAACCATGATCACACCTGGCTATAACTTTCCTGTCAGTTGGTGGGGGCGGTTTGCCCTTTATTGTGGGTGGAAAGAAAAGACTCCCCCCAAAATAATAGAAGGATCTTGAGTCATTTGCACTCGAGAAAAGACTTGCAAAAAAAAAAGAGAAGCCTCTTAGTGGACTTTGCATAAACAAGAGAACTCTGGTTGTTTTAAGACCGCGTCTTTTGGTTTTGTTTGCGACCATAGTATTAATCCGGGCTTTCCTAACATGAGCTGGGAAGGTTTAGCTCTGAGAGGACGTGAGTGTTGCTTCTGAGGCCAGAACCTGAAAGGCCAAATGGCTCCAGAATGAATTCCAGAATGAAGACTCCAGGCTCACCTTCCACAAGAAGCAGGTTTTGCAGAGATCCTAGAGCTTTCTAGGTTGAATCAGCTAGAGGAAAAGAGCAGATTGAAAAGTATTCTGTGCTGAAATGTTCTCCTCTTGTCTAGACAACACACAGACCAGAGTATGTAAACAGGAAGGTGAACTCTCGTCTGAAGCAACACTGGTGAATAAGAATGCAATCTGTTGGCTTCAACCACCTTCGGTCCAAACCAGATGGACCTTCTCCTCCACCCACTCTCTAAAGAGAAAAAGGAGTCTTCGTTCCCAATAATGTCCTCACTTAGTCTGTTTAGAAGAAGGATTCACGCTTCCGGCTCCATGTCCAGGAGCCAGACCCAGAGAGGGATTAAGTGGCCACAATCAAATTTACATTTCAGTACGATGTAGTTAATCCTCACCAGTAAACATGGAGTCTATCACTGTTGAGAGGATACTGCAGCCTAAAGGGGTTTGTCAACAAACGGAGGGTCTCCCCAAACCAGGCAAGTCATTGAGGACAGCCCCAAAGAGAAGCCAGCAGGGTTTTAGTGAGGAGAAGAGCTCTGATTACATTCATTCTTGATGTACAGGCAGCTACTCAACAGGTGAGAAGGCCATGTGTCAGGAACCAGAGAGTGATAGTCTCCAAGCCATGGGGCTGGACTCTCGCCTCAAGAGTGTGGTGAACAAATTAAATCCTAGAATGGAGTTATAAGACCATGCCAAAGTGCTGGAGGACACTTGGGTCCTAGATGAGAGAAGAGATACAGATGGTGATACAGACAGAGATAGAGATAGAGATAGAGATGATAGAGACAGAGATGATAGAGAGAGATGAGAGAGAGAGAGAGATGCAAGAGAGGGGGGGAGGAGAAGAGAGAGAGGGGAGGGAAGGAGGGGGAGAGAGGGAGGGAGGGACGGAGAGAGAGAGGAGAAAGGGGAGAGGGGAGAGGGGAGGAGGGAGAGAGAGAGAGCGATCCCTGCATTATTCAAGTCTCCTTCCTTTACTGCTAGCTGGGTAACAAGTAGCAAAGCTCTAGATGACTGAGTTTTCCATGAGCAGGTCTTGTTTGGTACTTTCTTGACTCCTTGGTGAGTTTCAAGGCCCTTCTAGATGCCTCTAATGGTAGAAGACTATCTCTTCCATAATGACCACCCGACACTCCAGCTATGATTGGTTTGTTACTTTGCTTTATTTGCAGCCTGATTTGCTACATAAATCCAATGCGCGCATACTTGGCATAAAAGAAAGGGCCATACAAAAATACAACTCTTGATAGTAAATGGACAGCTCATCCCAGTACCACCCCAGTGGAACACCAAGTGGATATGGTCAAACTGGGGCTTGGGGGAAATACTGTGGAATGACAGAGTCCTGGTGGCACAGTGGTTAAGTGATTGGCTATTAACCTGAAGGCAAGTGGTTTGAACACAGCCACCACCTGCAGGAGAATGATGTGGCAGCCCCAGATGAGGGGGGTTCTGCTCCGGCCTATAGGGTAGCCATAGTCAGGACGAGCTCAGTGTCAGTGGACTGTGGAGGGAGCAGGTGTGGAGGACTGAACCCGTAACACTGCCCCTGTAGGATCTGGGGCCTGGGCTGGGTGGACTCCCCATGGCTTGAGACCATTTCTGCCACCTTCACACCTGGTCACCTCCTCCACTTGAAAAGCAAAGAGGGCCTTCCCCAGTCATTGAGGCCCTCCAGAAGGCTCCTTGTCCAAGTCAACTGTAGCTTTGAGGTCCCTGGTACCCACCTTTTCCTAGGGTGTGCACAGTGTGGGTTACTTGCCTCTGGACACCACAGAGGTTGAAGAGATGAAGGGTAAAGGATTAACATATTGGAGGGAGGGAGGACAGAGAGAGAGAGAGAGAGACTGAGGATACGAGACAGTCCTAACCTTCCCTTCTCTTCATAAAAATGTCTTACTGAAGCCTTCCTGGACATGAGCCTACCTAGCCCCTTGACTTGAAGATTCCTGAGCCTTAGAAGGCGGGCCCTGGGGAGTCAGAGCTGGCCTTCGGCCATCCATCTGGAAATCCAGAAGGCGAGTGCTTCTGTAAAGCATTTCCTCTGATCAGGGCAGGGATTTATGTGGCTGGCACCTCATAGAAGCAAAGTCCCTGGGGGGCAAAGAGCAGAATGGGGCTGAAAGGGGCTCCTCCCAGTGCTCTCCAGACACTTATGTGAGGGTGGTGCTCAGGGGACAGGGAGCTTCACTGTAAAACTGAAGACGTGTGTGTGTACAGGTGGGCGGTGGGCTTCCTCAGCAGACACAAGGTTACAGAAGAGATGAGGCCGGAGGAGCCCAGCCCCCAGCCTTCCAGGACAGAAGACCCTGGTCCAGGGGATCCACATACCACTGTCACTCCCCAGGTTGGTGAGGTGGACACAGATGGCGGAGAAGTGATGGAGGAGAAGGGGAGGCCAGGAGAGCCCAGGGCTACCTCTTCTTCATGTCACAGGGCATCAGAACCACACTGGAGCTGAACCCCAGGTCTGTTTTGGGGCCAAAAGAGGCCAGAAAGTGGAGTTTGCTTGGTTGTATGTTGTGTTGTGTTTGAGACTCGGGAAGGATGTCACACTCTCCTCTGAGGTTGCCAGATACTCCATCGTGTGTTGGAGGAGTGAACTCAAGGACAACACAAAGGAGGCAGCTCTGTCCCAGAAGCAAAGCTGGCTTCCCTGCCCCTCTGCTGGGGACACTGCCCCTGACCTGCGCCTTGCTCATGGCTGGCATGGAGCGCCTGCTGTCTTAACTGTGAACTCCCATAAACACCAGTCACATACACCCACCCATGCAAGTGCTTATTCACACACACACACACCCTACATACACCCCCATAGCCTGTATATACTTGTATACACTCACCAATACACACACCTGCATACATCCTACACATATACACACATTCTGCACACACATATACTCACCTAGTCACATGTCTTTACACCCACACACACATACATTCTACAGCCACTCATACACACTCACATGCACACATATCCACATCCTACATCCCTAAACACACACACGCACAGACATCCATTACACCAATACACGTGTCCTCATGCAAAAACATGCCTACATACAAACACAAATGCACTCAACATGTATGCACACATGCACACCCCCCCATGCATATCAGCACACACAGATGCATGAAGACCTCAACACATATATATATATATATATATATATATATATACACACACATCACATCCACATCAGCACACACTCACACACAAGCCCCACACCAACTCACGCATGTGTACACATGCTAGACTTCAGGTCTGGTGCTTCTGGGCACGTGGGAACAGGAACTCCGACAGGAAGTACCCGTGTAGGGTACTGAGTTAAGGACCTGGAGCCTCACTCCTCTGTGCTGTACTTGAACTTCAACACTGTTTAGAGGACAACAGAATGCACCCTGGAGAGCCCTGGGCTTTGTATTCCATCAGGCCCAATTTATAAACGAGTCTGCTTGCTACCCTGTGGAATGTCCGCATGGCTGGAGGTGAGGTGTCTTCTGTCTGAGGCACCCCCCCACAATCTCGGGGACCCCAAGGTCACTTCACTCCATCTCGCCCCCACTCAGCACCTCAGTACTCTCCTTGTCCCTCCTTATGGAGGAGACAAGGATTAAAGACAGCACAGCTTCTTCAGGGATCACCCCAGATGACACTGATATATTTGAGAGGTGTCATCTGTGACGAGGGTGGTGGGAGGACCCCGCCCAGTACATCCAGTGCCTGCCCTCATCCCCAACCCCTAGTCCCACATCCTCACACTTTACCCGCCAACCCAGCTTCTCTTTGAAAAGGTGACAGTCACTGTCCTCCCCCTGCCGCGGCCCCCGCCACGCAGCATCCCAGATGACAGCAGAGCCAGCCTCGAGCTAATACTCAGCATTCTCCCAGAGCTCAGCAAGTGGGAGCTGCCCTCCGAGACCCCGAGACCGGAGAGGCCTGACTGAGGCCCAGGCCTGCCAGCAATCCCAGCCCACTGTCCCTCCAGCAGGAAGAGGTGCCTGCAAATTGGCAAAGCAAAGGCAGCCGGCCAGCAAGCTCAGGACCACGATGCCAGTCTTCCAAAGGCTCAGCGGCACAGGTAACTCAGACTAAGCCAGCCCACCCGTGGAGGATCCTCCTGCCATGACCACCGAGCCGCCGCCAGGAGCTGCTGGATGGAGCTTAGTCAACTCTGGCTCCTCGCCCTGCGCCCCGCTCTTCCCGGAGAGCTCTGGGGCGCCCAGCGGATAGGCCTCCCGCGCCCGGCTGGCCTTGGAGCAGGTGAGGAAGGCCAGGCAGGTCCCTCGGAGGCGGGCCAGGTCCCGGTGCGTGGTCTCGCTGACGAAGCAGTAGAGCACGGGGTCGGCGACGCAGTTCAAGCTGGTGAGGAGGAGGGAGAAGTGGTAGACGTTGAAGACGCGCTTGGCGAAGTCGCAGCTGGACTCCCAGACGCTGCGCACCAGCAGCAGCGTGTGGTAGGGCAGGAAGCAGGCCAGGAAGATGACCACGGTGCTGAGCACCAGCCGCTGGATCTGGTCCTTGCGGCTCTTCTGGGTGCCGTGGCTGCGACGCACGGCGCGCAGGATGCCCTGGTAGGAGAAGAGAAGCAGGCAGATGGGGAAGAGGAAGCCCACGAGGAAGCGGTAGTAGTTGATGGCACGCTCCCAGGGCTGGATGGGGTAGTGCTCGAAGCAGACGCGGTGCTGGTCCTCATCCACGATGACCTGCTTGTGGCGGAAGAAGAAGATGCTGGTGAGCAGCTCCTTGGCCCAGATGAACACGCTCACGGCCACGGCCGCCTTCAGGGTCCGGAACTGGTGGAAGCGGAAGGGGTGGGCCACGGCCAGGTAGCGGTCGATGGAGATGCAGCAGAGGAAGGCCACGCTGATGTAGATGTTCTCGTACAGGAGGACGCCGCACACCTGGCAGGACAGGTCGCTGTGGGGCCAGTCGTCATGCTGCAGCACATACTGCAGCCAGAAAGGCAGCGAGCAGATGTAGAAGAGGTCAGCCACGGTCAGGTTGCACAGGTACACGCCCAGCTCGTTGCGGGCCTTGATCTGCAGGTAGCCGAAGTACAGCGACAGGCAGTTGGCCGGGAAACCCAGCACCAGCACCGCGACGTAGACCACCGGGGCCAGCGTCTGGTGGATGGTGTGGTCGATGGTACAGCTGGAGTTCTCCACGGTGATGTTGCCCATCCTCAGGCGGGGCGGGGCCTCCCTCATCATGGGCGCGGGGCACCACCGGCTGCTCTGGGCACCGCCATGCTGGTCAGGTGGGTCAAGCTGTGGGAAGGGGCAGGACAGCACCGGCGGTGGACAAGTGCCTGAAAGTCAAACGCAGTAGAGGCTTAGCATAACCACAAGTAGCAGCTGTGTAGCAAATACTGTGTGTCGCTAGGCCAGGTACTTCCATGTAGAAGTCCAGGGCCAGCCAACCAGCTCCGTTCAGCAAGAACTCCTGCAAAGAGGTCACATGCCAAGACACTGAAATGCCACTTATGTCCCTACACCCCTTTTCCTCTGGCTTCCTTGTCTCTTTTCTATCTTCTTGGCCTCTCAGATCCCAGGAAGCTTAAGGTCAAGATCCTTCCTGCCCATATGCCACCATCTAGGCACCAATCCCTTCTTCTACAGCTATATATGTCACTTCCTTCTCTGTGTATGAATTCATATAGGAGATTATATATATATATATATACACACACACACACACACACATATATATATATATATATATATATATATATAAAGTTGTGCTACCAAGCCAAAGATGGGTGATTTTAATCTGCAGCCCTCAGGCCTGGTTTTAGTTATTTTTGGTCAAACATTCTTCTGAGTGGTATAGGACTAGTATGTCCATTGGCTGTACAGAGGTAACTTGTGGTTGTTGTGATGCTGAACCCTGTGACACTGAAGTGCCAAATGCAATAATGGTGACCAATGGTGGACAGTGTTGGGTGGAACTCCCTGATTAAAACAAGCTTGGAAGCAGGAGTGGCATCCACTTCCGAAATAGAATGCGTCTGGAAACTATAAACTTGGAGAAACAATGAACATTATACAAGTGTTCAGGTCTTTCGTTTGTAGGGTCCCTATGAGTCTTCTACGACTCAACAGCACTTAACAACAACAACATATACCCCATGTGCTTATGTTGTAGTTGTGTGCCACCGAGTCCAAACCTCTGTGACCTTCCAGTGTTTTCAGAGGTGATAAATCACATAGAGAAAACTGCCTATTTTTTTTTCTCTGTCATGGAGCAGCTAGTGGACTTGAACTGTGTGCCTTTGGGTTGGCAGTGCAGTTCCTTCCCATTAGGCCACCAGAGTTCCTTATATGCTCATCGTTGTTGTTAGGTGCTGTTGAGTTGAGTATGACTCATGGTGACCCTATGAACAATACACTTGAAACTTTTTTTATCCTGTTCCATCCTCATCCTCTCTGACACACTTGAGCGCATTGCTGCAGTCATTGTGCCAATCCATCTCATTGAGGGTCTTCCTCTCTTTCTCTGACCCTCTACCTTTCCAAGTATTATGTCTCTTTCCAAGGAATAGCCCCTGCTAGCAACATGTCCAATGAGAGATGGAGTTCATCATCTTTACCTTCAAAGAGCACTCTGGCTACACTTTTTCCAAGGCATATCTGTTCTTTCCACACCTTCCATGTTCCAGTTATCAGTGGTTGTTTGCAGCTGTTTCTCTTCAGTTTTGAGTGACTTCCCACCAGGACACTATCTCTAATACTATAAATACCCACATTCCACTTTTGTTCATAAGGTTTCGAAGGCCCATTATTTCAAAATTAAATGGCCAATCCTTCTTCTTGGTCTATCTTAATTTAGGAGCTCTGTGGCAACCTATCTACCCTGGGTGACCCTTCTAGCACTTGAAACACTGGTGGCACAGCTCCCAGCATCACAGCAATCCACAAGCTACATCAGTACAGCACACTGACAGACAAGTGCTGTACTAATTGTTGTTGTTGTTGTTATGTGCTGTGGAGTTACCTGCAACTCTAAGCAACCCTATGTTCAACAATTCTGAAATTTGTCCTATTTGGAACCAGTCTCACTGTCTCTGACACACCTAATCTCACTGCCCCAATCTATCTCATCCGGGGTCTTCCTCTCCTGTGCTGTCCCTCCACTCTTCCATGCATGGTGTCCTTCTCCAAGGACCTGTTCCTCCTGGCCATGTGCCTAAGGTATGTGAGATGGAGCTTCAAAATCCTAGCCTCCAAGGAGAAACTTGGTTCCACCTCTCCAAGACAGACCTATTGTTCTCCTGGTGGTCCATGGCATGTTTAACACTTTTCTTCAGCACCACAGGTCAAAGGCATAGATTTTTCTTCTTGTCATCCTTAGTAATTTTCCAGCTTTCTGATGCATAGCAAGTTGCAAAGACCATGGCCTGAATCAGGCGCACCTTAGTCTCTAGTCTTACATGTTGCTCTTCAATACTCTGGAGAGGTCCCTGACAGCAAATTTTGTCAATACAATTTGTCTTTTGATTTCCTGCCTGCTGGTACCAAGAGTGTTGATTGTGAGCAATACTTTCCATACTTGAATATATTTTTAATTAAATGTTTCCCCCACCTCACCCACCCAAAAATAAGTTGATTGTGAAACCAAGCAAACTGAAGCTGTTAACAATCTCAATCTCTTCACCATCTATCACAGTGCTGCCAATTGGCCCATTGGTGAGAATCTTTGTTTTCTTGATATTGCGCTTCAATCCATATTCAAGGCTGGAGTCCTTGACCTTCTGCAGCAAATCCCTCAAGTCCTTCTCAGTTTCAGCAAGTAGGACTGTGTCATCTGCAAATGCAAGTTGTTGATGAGTCTTCCTCCAATCCTGATGCCACGTTCCTTCTTATAGAGCCCAGCCTCCCAGATTATCTGTTCTGCATATAGATTGAAAAGGTATGGAGATGGGATGCATCCCTGCCGTACACCTTTCCTGATTTTGAACCATGCAATGTTTCCTTGCTCTGTTCTAAGGATTGCCTCCTAGTTCAAGTATAGATGTTGCATAAGCACAATCAAGTGTTCTGGGATTCCTATGCTTCTCAGAGTCAGCTGCAGATTTTTATGATCCACACAGTCAACAACCAGAGCCAGAGAAGGAAAGAGATGACTTCTACCAAATGTTGCAATCTGAAATTGATCAACATGCAACCAAGATACATTAGTAATAATGGATGACTGGAATGCAAAAGTTGGGAACAGGAAGAAGGATTGGTAGTTCAGAAACATGGACTTGTGACAGAAATTAAGCTGGAGACAGAATGATAGAATTCTGTACATCCATGATTTCTTCATTGTAAATACCTTTTATAAGAAACACAAATAGCAATTACACACATAGACCTACCCAGGAATCAGATTAATTACATCTGTAGGGAAAATTACTGGAAAAGCTCAGCTGTGAGGAAAAAAAAAACACACAGACAAACAGATGCTGATTCTACCAGTTCTGCTGAACTACTCACATGCAAATTCAAAGTCAAGCTAAAGAAAATCAAATCCACAAGAACCAAAGTTTAACCTTGAGTCTATCTCTGCTGAATTTAAAGACCACCTCAGGAACAGGTTTGAGGCCTTGAATACAAATGAACGAAGACCAGATGAGCTGTGGGAGGATATCAAGAATGTCATCCATGAAGGGAAAAAAAGGTCATTACAAAGACAGAGGAAGGAAAAAAAGACCAAGATGAATGTCAGAAGAGACTCTGAATATTGCACTAGAGTGCTGAGAAGCCAAAACAAAAGGAAGAAACCAGGAAGTTAAGACTCTGAACAGAAGATTTCAAAGGGCAGCTCTGGAGGATAAAGCAAGGTATCATAATGAAATGTGCAAAGAGCTGGAGTTGGCAAGTAAAAACGGATGAACTCAGCCAACATTTCTTAAGCTGATGGAACTGAAAAATAAATTCAAGCCTTGTGTTGCAATACTTAAGGATGCTTTGGGCAGAATATTGAATGACCCAGGAAGCATCAATGAAGATGGAAGGAGTACACAGAGTAACACACAGACACAGACACACACACACAGACACACAGACACACACACACACACACACACACACACACACACACAAATTGGCTGACACAGAAGAATTTCATGAAACAATTTATGACCAAGAGCCTATGGTGATGAAGGAGAAGTTCAAGATTCTCTGAAAGAATTGGCAAAAAACTAAGCTCAGAAATTGACGGCATACCAATTGACACATTTCAACAAACAGATGCTGCCCTGGACATGTTCACTAGGCAGTAACAAAAAAATCTGGAGGACAACTACCTGGCCAAATGACTGGAAGAGATCTATATTAATTCCCATTAAAAAAATAAAAAAGATGACCTGAAAGAATGTGGAAATTATCAAACTATATCATTAATATCACATGCAAGTAAGATCCTGCTGAAAATTATCCAAAAACTACTGGAACAGCACATGAACAGAGAACTGCCAGATGTGCAGGATGGGTTTAGAAGAGGCCATAGCACTAGAGACATTATCACCAATGTCAGATGGATCTTAACTAAAGCAGAGGGTACCAGAGGAATGTCTATCTGCATTTCATTGACTATGCAAAGGCATTTGACAGTGTGGATCACTGTCATTCATTGTGACTTTACTAATGCTGTTGTTGATTGCCGTGGAGTCTAGCACTATTCATAGCGACTCTATGAACAAAAGACGTAATGCCTTTCCATATCTATTGTCATTTCTCCAAGATTATAGAGTTTCAGAGGCTTGTGGTTTAGAAAGTGGATGCCACTTTTGCTTCCAAACCTGTTTTACAACTGGGAGCTCCACCAACCACTGTGCACATTGGGAAACCATTCTGGTATTTGATGCCCCAATGGTACAAGGTTCAGCATCACAGCAAACCCAGGTTACCTTACACAGCACATTGACCAAGAGTGATGTACACAGTGGAAGAGTGTTCCTCCAGATATAACAACACTAGTCTCATTTAGCAGTGGTTAAGGATTGTCAAGTCGAATACAACTGAGAGTCAGATTTGCACAAAAGACCCGAACTCTGTTCTGTAACTAACATCATTTCTGTACATTTAGAGTTTAGAGGCTGTACTAACAGAAGTGCTTTAATTACATTGGTTGGCACCGAGGCCACAGTCCCTCTTGGAAATCACTCCAGACAGTCTCAAAAGGGACCTAAACTTATACACATCCTAATGAGCTCTGGTGACAAAAGCTCATCTTCCACCAGAGCATGCCTGGACCCCTGGGTGCCCATCAGCAGCTGGCAGTACCCTCTGCCCTTCTCCATGGAGTGTAGGGACT